TAGACTTAAAAAGAAAAAAAGGAAGTTATAAAATATCTGCTCTTGCTCCTGAGATTGTGCAGATGGTGCTGTGTTCTGCCTAATAGGGAACGGGGCTGGCATCCGTGTGCTTCTGGTCCCCGCCAGCCTGCCTGTAGGGACCTGAGGGCAGGGTCCCCACTCCCAGCCTCAGCCTCAGGTGCCTCCCAGGGCCTGGTTTGGCCAACGCCACTTGGTGTTCACTGATTCCGACCCTCACCCTCCCCAGACTCCCTTCTGTTGATTTCCCAGACCTCCCCCTCAGTCAGGCCAGTCTCTCAGCTGGCCCTGCTCCCCTGTGTGCACACACACACACGCACACACACACACACGCACACCCCTCAGCTCAATCCCACCTCTTTCTTCAGCGGATAGCCAGGGCACACTGGCCGTTCCCTTCCAGAACTCCTGTTCAGATGTTAGAACTTACCAACCTTACACACACCAAGTGCCCCATCAAACCATCCTGTCGTTTTGCTGCCAATGGCTCGTAAGGGAGGTGCTCACACTTTCCCGTTTGACTTTGTGTTTATCGTGGTTCAGGACAAGGTAGTCATTTGCGCCATCATTTTCCACTGGGAGCAGTGTGGGCCTTGGTACAAAGAAGATGCTTCCTAAGTGGGCAGGAGTATTGACTGAATCCCCTCTCCCTCTGTGCTTGGGGGGGAGCTGGAGGAGCAGCCTACATCAGAGTCAGCCCTCTCCCCACTAGCCAGGAATCAGGAGGCCTGACTCTTTCTCTAGCTTTCTGCATGGCCATGGGCAGATCACCGAGTTGCTCTTGACCTCAGTTTCCCCATTTGTGAACTATGGGAGGTGATCTTTATTTAACCTGCTCCCGGGAATTACCATAAGTACGATGTAAGTAACATGGAGAAATGCTTGGCAAAATCCATCAATTCATCAATTAATCTCTTTAAGAAAGCATGAGAAGATGTGTTGTAACGGGCAAAGATGCCGACACAGACAGCGGCCGAAGTCAGGGCGGGAAGGTGGGATGGGAGGTGGGGGGTGTCCAGTAAGGCGGAGAGCTCACTGGTCACATGCAGTGTGTGTGTGTGTGTGTGTGTGTGTGTGTGTGTGTGTGTGCGTGCGTGTATGCACACATATGTTTACTTTATTAATAGTTGAGTTTAGAGCTGTGGTTTGTTCTGGAAAAGACTTGATACCAGTTTTTAAAATATATGCCACAGGATTAAACAGGTGAAGATGAAAATGAGACGAAAGGTCTGTTAAGGAAGGGACAATAATATGAAACCAGAAATGAGGTTTGGGCTCAGAATATACGCAGTGTGTGTCTACACACGGAGCAGCTGTGGCCATGGAGAGCTGGCCTGAGTTGTGGGGGTTTTTCAGTCTTTTTTCTTTTTCTTTTTCTTTTTTCTTTCTTTCTTTCTTTTTCTTTTCCCCCCTATAGGCTGTGTGAAGCTATTGCCAGAGAGAGAGAGAGACAAACAGACAGAGAGAGATAAAGTAAGAAATCACCATTTCCCCCCCCCCTTCCCCAAGGGGATGGCCATGCCACAATCCCTTCTCCTTCATTCTTCTCTTGGGATTTTGGGCACACACACCTGGTGTGTTTTTCAAGCTGCTAGATTCAGGACTCGAACCTTAGAGTCTGTCATATAGGATCTAGTGCCTTAACCTCCATGCTACCTGCCGGCCCATTTTTAATAAATACTTACTTTATCTTGATGTACCTCATAGTCAAGGCCGTTTAAATGGCAGCTATTCTTCAGGAGGTCAGGGGATTGTGATTCCTCCTGACTCTGCCGTCCATTAATGTTCTTATTACTCACAGGATGGGAAAATAGCAGCCGGGGCCTTCAACTTGTTTCACATTCATCCAGAGGGTTTGTTAAGCACAGGCCTCATTCCTAGAACTTCTAATTCAACAGGTCTGGGGGGAGCCTGAAGACTTGCATTTTTACCTAGTCCCTGGAATGTGGGGGCCACATGTGAGAACTGTTATGGCCTGAGCAGTCAGCGCAGAGAGACCCAGAGAACTGGCCCAGAGTCGGCAAGACAGGCAAGCCAGTTACTCAGAAATACAATTTCTTACCCTGGGGCCAGGTAAAAATTCCTTAGGATATTCAGAAAGGGGACCCATCATGTAATGGTCATGTTCTGGGTAACAGTTGTCTGGTAAATGCAGTGAGGCCATGGGCCGTACCCTGTGGTGTTCTCTGGTCAAGCCCAGTGCAGGGGCACAGTGAGGATTCTCTCTTTCTCATGGAAGACATAAGTAAATAAACCTTAATAGAGGTAAAGATATTTGTATAATACACATACATATTTGTATAATATATACATGTAATGGTCATGTTCTGGGTAACAGTTGTCTGGTAAATGCAGTGAGGCCATGGGCCGTACCCTGTGGTGTTCTCTGGTCAAGCCCAGTGCAGGGGCACAGTGAGGATTCTCTCTTTCTCATGGAAGACATAAGTAAATAAACCTTAATAGAGGTAAAGATATTTGTATAATACACATACATATTTGTATAATATATACATATTTGTATACTCTCTCTCTCTCTCTCGCTCTATATATATATATATATATATATATATATATACACATAATTATTTATTTTTAGAGATTTTTGCTATATGGCACATGCACTGTCTCTGGAGAGACAGAAAGGGCACACATACACATGTCCCTGACCTGAGTTTCAAGCCACTGGGTCTGGAACTCAAACCATGGCTGACCATGTGGGAGTCCAGTACCTTAACTACTATCCCACTTGCTAGCCCCAAAACTCATTATTTTTCTTTTTTAAAGAAAAAAAGTGAGCTAGCAGGCGGCATTCTGGTTAAGGTGGCTGGATCCCACATGGCCAACTGCATGGTCTGAGTCCCAGACCCGGTGGCTTGAAAATCATACCAGATGCATGCACGTGCCCCAAATCCCAAGAGGATAATGGAAAAGGGATTGTGGTGAACCTATCCCCCCTTGCGGGTGATTTCTGGCTTGCTTTCTCTGTCTCTCTCTGGCGAGCACGTGAGCCCTATAGCAAATTGAAAAAAGAAAGAAGAAAGAAAGGAAGGAAGGAAGGAAGCAAGCAAGCAAGCAAGCAAGCAAGCGAACAATCAAATAACCAAGCTAGAGTCCCAAAGGTGATTATCTTCTACCAGAGATTACCCAGGAAAAGAATTGAGGTCCAAACTTGAGGTCTCCTGATTTTCACTCCAGTCCCCTAAGCTGCCAGTGCAGAGAAAAATCAAATTGGGATCTCCTTCTGGGAGGAAAATCTTCTAAGATAATTTCTCATTGCGCTATGGAATGGCTTTACATTATGTAATTTTATTCAAACTGATATGGGCCAATAAATATAAATGTGTGTGTGTGTGTTCACTGTTTTAAAACATTTTAATGTTTAAAACATGATTTACTAATGCTGCCGAGGATGTCTAGAATTTGATTTACCGCATAGTATTGAATGTTTATACTCATTCCTTACAGAAATTCTTGCCAAAGAGCCATTTTATCTGCAGGAATAATAAATAAGTCAATATGTGGATGGTTGTGCACATTTTCCCCATATGCAGCAGTACGTGGTAGATGCTATTTTGCACACAAACACTCAAAAGGTAAAGTCGAGAGACACACATGGATCTCGGAGGTCCGGGGGTTGGCCAGTGCCAAGATCAAATGATTAATACTGACTTACGCTGAAAGAGAAAAGTCGTCAGTGAGTCTGGATCGTAGGAGGTATTTGGGCTTTCAGAATCAGGTCCACACCTCTGTAATCATACCTGGCCATGTGTGTGTATTCATTCATTGTGTCATTTACATATTCAACACGCATTTGTTAAACATCTATGTTTCCTTCGCTAGATTAAACGTGGTATAGGCTTTCGCTTCATGGAGACGCAGAGATAATAGATACAAATCTCTCCAACTTCTATTTACAAAGCACTTAAGACATTTGAATGGATTTTTTTTAAAGCTTCACAAAAATCCTATGGGGTGGCCAGTGCATGAAGGGCTCAGATTACCTGAACATAAGTGATGGTGTTCCTTTGGTTTGCTTGTTTGTTTTTACTGCCCACTGTCCCCATGATAAAAACAATGCACATCCACTGTTAAAAAGAACCTTGAAATATTTAAGAATGTGAAAAAGTAGCCTGTAACCCAACCTCCAAATACATTGTGATTAATAATCAAAATCAACATGCCATGTGACAGTTAGCAACACATATGTGTATTTAGGTACGTGGCTATGTAACTGGGGACTTGAAAAAGTTTGTGGAAAATAAAATTAAAGTACAAGTTTATGTTGGTACAAACATTTTTTAAATCCATGCATAAATTTTTCCATAAATGTTTTGAAGACTCTCATAAAAGGTGAGGGTTTCCCCCCTTTTTTTTGTCAGGGAGAGGGGTAGGGTGGTGGGTGAGCTTGCACACACAGGTGCCCAGTGTAATTTTCAAGCCACCAGACTGGGGACTTGAACTGTGGTTGATCATGTGGGGAGTTCAGTGCCTTAATTACTGGCCCCAACAATGAGATTTTTGTCTTACCTAAGAGGGATAATGCTACTGAGTTGTTAGAAAAGTCATGACGGATTTTTTCTATGTTTTTGTATGCAAAATGTGTCATTAGTTTTCTGACAGCCCAAGATAATATAATTCAGCAAGTTAATTTCTTTTTCCATTGCAGTCACCTCACTATGGTCATCAGTTCGTGAGTGCACAGATTCGGTGCACTCTAGTTTGTGGCTGTGTAATTCTGTACAAAAGTGGATGGAGACAAGCAGGTGGCGTGGTGGTTAAGGTGCTGGACACTCCCACATAGCCGACCACGGTTCGAGTCTCGGACCTGGTGGCTTGCTGTCTCACTTTCCCTCTCTGTGTGTTGTCTCTCTCTGGTCATATTAAAATAAATGAATGAATAAATAAAATTAAATTTAAAAAATAATTCTTAAAAAAAAAAAGTGAAGGATGCCGTCTTCAGCCTCTCCTGCTCTCTCTCATAGGTGGTCGGTCTTCTCTTGCCCAACCAGACACTGGCATCCACTGTTTTCTGGCAGGTAACAGTCTCTTGGCAAACAGAGGGCCCCAAAGGAAGGGCTCAAATATGTACTGGCTAGGCGCACCCTGCCCCAGTGTCTCCTGCCCCACCCCAGCCTCTGGGTAAAAGCATCCCACTCCACCCCCTCGCTCAGAGACCACTGGAGGCAAACACAGGACTTTGGCCCCACTGAGTGGGTCCCCAGCAGCCCAGCAGGTCTCAGGCCATTGTGTGTCACGCCAGCCTTTGCATGGAGATGATGAGGGTCGGACTGGGACCCTAGCCTGGAGCAGGGTGGCTTGGTGTTGGGCATCCACTCTGCTCCTTGGCTGCTTGTCCTGTGCCAGTGACCCTGAGGCCTCCAGCTTCAATTTCACCCTAATCTGCAGAGGTAGGCAGATGGACCTTGAAGACTGCAAGTGCATCAGCGACCCTAGTCCCTGCCCTCAGATCCAGTCCAAGTTGTGGTTCCCTGAAAATAGTTGAGGCTGATTCTGTGTGTCTACGTGGAGAGGAGAGGGGCAGGAGGAAAAACCTGTCGGTGTTTTAGAATAAAATGTCAGAGCTTCCCTGCACAGAACTCTCGACAGTGCCTGTGCTGGAGGAGGTGCAGGGCAGGGGGCTGGGAGATTTTTGAGATGTGAGGCTGCCCATCATCCACAGCCCTCAATGATCACCTCCATCCAGCGAGTAATTAAGAATGACGTGGCAAAGGCAGTAAGCCCTGTTGGGACAATACACACCACGATTCCAGCAGAGGTGACTGTCCCTGGATCAGGGTGAACTGCTGGATTGGGGCGACTGGGCAGGATCACATCCTGGTTCACCAGAAAGTGAGGAGTTTCCCCAGACTTGGGACTTTCAGTGCTAAACCTGCCATAGTCCCAGGCATACCAGCAAGGCGGGTCATGCTCACTAGTGGGATGGAGGCAGGGTCCTGTGTCCTCCCAGAGCCCAGGTCTGGCTTCCAGCAAGGTCACCACACCTTCTCTGACTTCTCTCTCCATTACTTTTCAGTGGCTGAACCAGAGCCATAACGCCTGCGTCAACTATGCAAACCGCAACGCTACCAAGGTGAGCAACACTGCCCTCCGCCCAGTGGTGGGCTCAGGCTGGATGGCCCAGTGGGCCCTACAGTGTGACCTGCCACCACCAGCACCTGCCTCTTCCCAACCAGCCTTGCCCTCCTCTGGGCACCTTATTTAGGGAGCTGCCAACCCTGCAGCGGTAGCAGCAGACTCACCCTTCCTTGGGGAGATCAGCAGGAGCCTGGGGAGCATCCTGCTGGGGGCTGTGGGGACAAATCCTGTTGGGGGCTGGGGGTGGGGGTGGGGGCAAGGAGCAAGCCCTGCCGGCTTTGGAATGCTTCTTGGGTAGCTCTCACATACAGCTCTTGGATCAGGGCATTGTCAGCCACATGCGGACAGAGTTTCCCTAAAGCTACCTCCAAGCTTGCATGGAAGTGGCCTCAGTGTCCCCAGCTGCTCCTGAGGGGTGAGAGACCCAGAGGAGGTGCCTCCTCCCCGTGGCCCCCTGCACTGCTGGGCAAAGCTCCCCCTTCAGCTGCCCAGGTTCTGGCAGGGCTACCTCTCCTCTGGCCAATTCTCCCCCATTTCGGTCCAGAGGCAAAGGGAGAAGAGTCCAGGCCCCATTTGAACAGGGGGTAGCTCTCATTTTGGAATAGGGCAGGTCTTAGCATTCTTTAGTTAGAAAATGCTAACCTTGGGAGAGACCAGGGGAGTTAGGAACTGACCTGAGCAGTAGAAACTTCAGGGGCCAGATACTTCAAGGATCCCTTTCTGTCTAAACCCCTAAGCCGGTCTCCGATAAGCCTCACACAGGAACCCTGGTCGGCTGGCCGCTGTTGACCTTACACCCTGCGTCTCCGAAGCTACAGTCGTGGTGAAGGATGAGCTCCTGAGCTTTTTGGTTTTCTAAGCTAGAACTTGTGGCAGGCTCTTCTACAAAAGTACTGAGCACCTGTCATCTACTACTGGGGAGGCCCAGGGGCCACATGGGCTGACAAGGCCTGTGAGGGCCAGCCCGACTGTGGCCACTCTTGACACTGCCATTTGCACCTGGGCAGGGCTCCTGGGGCCCAGCAGCCCACTCGCGCATCAGCCCTCCTAATCAGGAGACTGCCCTGGCCTTCCGCGCTCTGTTTGGGTCTTGCTGTTCTTCACTTCCCGCCAGCACATCTACCAGTGACCTTTCTAGAAAAGGGCAGAAGTGAGTGGGCTCTTCGACATCCCCCTGCAGACTACAGCTGTGTATTTCCGTGTTCAGAGCTGAGCTGAGGGAGGCTTGGCTCCCCTTGGCTTCCTGAGGGACCTCTTCCTTCTTACCACACCTGCCAGGCTGGTGGGCAGAAGTGCTTGCCGGCTGGGGCTGTTTGCCAGGGTGGGGTGCGGAAACTCTGGGCACCCATGGGCTTGAAATTCTGCCTCTGTCTTCCAGCCTTCCCCGGCATCCAAGTTCATCCAGGGCTACCTGGGAGCTGTCATCAGTGCTGTCTCCATAGCTGTGAGTACCTGCCCCGTGCACCCCTTCCTCTTGGTTCTGCTGCTGTGTGGCCACCCCATGCATCGCAGAGGAATCCTTGTTTGAGGGCCAGGCCCTGCCATAGTGGGTGACAGGTTTCTGTGGGCAGGTCACCAGGGCAGGCTTCCCAGACAGAAAAGAGGCTTTATAAAGAGGCTCCAGGTTTGGGAGAGCAGGTGTGGAAGTGAAGTGGAGCCCTTGGGCACCCAAGGCAGGGCCCCTGTCCACCCAGCACTCTTCTCAGAGGAGTGAGTCCTCGTGCTCCGTAAGGCAGCTGACACAGGGGGGAGGGCACAGGAATGGGCCTGCAAGGCTGGCTCTTTGCCTGAGCTCCTGGGTCACTGGAGTCCCTTCCCTGCGGCCTTGGTCCCGTGGTCATATGTCCAATCCTTCCTGAAGTCCCATAAGTTCCTTAAGACAGAAGCATTGGGCTCATTTTAAATCTCCACTGGGCTTTGGGAAAGGCGCTGCTACCCAGGTGTGTAGACTGACTGTATGAGCGTAGGGGCCAGCGGCAGAGCAGAAGCTCAAGCTCCTGGGCTTTGCCCATGTTCGTCCCATCCCTGGGTCTACAATGCATCTATTACTGTCACTCGGTAGGTCCCTGCTGGGTGGCCTCCTATAGCTGACACCAGAGGATGAAAGGTCCCTTCACAACTTTGTCATTGTGTTCATTATGTGATAAACAGATGTAATTGGTAAGAAAAAAAAAAAAGTAATTAGAAAATCCCAATAAAAAACATTCACATATAGTGAGAGAATTCATGTATAATCTTTTGATTAAAACCTATCTTGCTCATCTTTCTTGTGTCATTAAATAATTGTTCATGACTGTGTAATAAGCCCTTGTGCCATACGGCATGGTTTATTTCACTATTCCGAAGTAGGGATTTGGGGCTGTCCTGAAGTGGCCTCATTTCACTCCCACGTGGACCAAGTCATCTCCAAATAGCTGTTAAGTGGGACGCCCCATCTCATGCCCAAGATCCCTTTCCTTCTCTAAACCCTTCTGTCTCACCGCAAGCAAGAAACCAAACCTTGCCAAACCCATCTAGACAGCTTGCCGGGTGACTGCCAACCCCACCCTGGTGGCCTGCAACCCGCACACTTCATACAAACTGGGTGGTCCCTGATTCAGGGGGCCTTCTAGGCTAAGGCGAGGGCTTATTCACCTCCGCCCTGTTCCTCGTGATGAGAGGAGACCATGGTTTGCCTCGCTTAGCAGCCTGGCAGTCCCCCTCCTTGGAGATTTAAGGGTGAGGAGGGGAGAAGTTGGGAGAAGGTGGCCAAATAGAGAGGGATGTTAAGTGACCCTGAATGGCAAGGACGTGAATCGGGGGATTATTGTCCTGCAGGCCTGGGGCTCTGGGAACAGCAACCCAACTTTTTTTTTTTTTTTTGGAGAGGTTTTTGCTACAGGGCGCGTGCGCTCTTAGTGGGTGGAAAATCTGGCTGATAGTGACGTGTTTTGGGGTTGGATGTAGTGAGGGCGGTATTGTGACATTTAGGATATTTTGAAGCTTTGCAGTAAGTCCCAATGTGTTCTCAAACTGAATAGGAAGGAGGGAAAATAGTTTTTCTTTGGATAACTTTATCCATCTTCTTCACCAGCAAATATAATTTGTCTCTTTAAGAGCTAAAATAAATAGTCCAATAAAATTCCCCCAGTTTGGAGAAATCACACCTCATTTTTCTTTAAATCATGTATGGGTAAAATGTTATACATGCCACAAAGGAGCATTTTTAAAAGTCTTAATATACCCATTATATTACATAGCTAATAATTATATCTGTCTATATTATAGAGTATATAGAGTATTTAACAACATCTATGCTAATGTCACAATTTATTAAAGACATTAACTCCTTGAAATTTCATATTTAATAAATAACTCTTCTTGGTCTATAGTTGAAATTTTATTTTAGGTAAAAGTTTGTAATCTGACTTGGAAAACTTAGATTTATGAATTCCATCTCTATGTTGTTTATGAACTGCTGTGAGAAACACCATTACATGGCAGTTGGGTTATTTCAAGGCCATTAAAATTTTTTTTTTTTTTGGAGAGATTTTCACTACAGGGCGCGTGCGCTCGCCAGACAGACAGAGAGAGACATAGAGACAGAAAGCGAGAAATCACCCCCCAGGGGGGATGGTCATGTCGCAATCCCTTCTCCTCCATTCTCCTCTCAGGATCTTGGGCACACACGCACACGCGCCTGGCGTGAGTTTTAAGCCACCGGGTCCAGGACACGAACCACGGTCGACTACGTGGAGTCCAGCGACATAGCCTTTACGCTAACTGCTGGTTCCCTGCAACCCAACTCTTTTTGAGAGCTATGGACTGTGTTCGTAGTCCTCACAGTCCCACCCCAGGGGCCATCAGTCATTGCATTCTAGCCACTTCCCAGGGCCAAACCTAGCCCGTATTTGTGGGGTGGGGTTTCTGAAGCCCAGGCCTAGAGGGTTATTGGAAACTTGGGGCTCTCTAGGGTTCCCAGAGCTGAAGTCTCACCTAGTGGGGACTAAGGGTCACACTCCTCCTCCCTTCTTCACTCCACTCCAGCCCATACTCCTCTGCCCCCACCCCACATCCTAAAAACTTCTGTCCTTCCCACACACTCTCACTCAGCCACACCCCGTGTCCCTGTCCTCTCATTGTTCTCCAGCCCGAGCCTTGTCCCCCTGCTGGATGACAAGTTATCCAGGGACGGGCGCTGTGTCTTCTCCCCCACAGAGGGAGCACAGAGCACTGCTCCATAAATACTTATTAATTAGGTCGCTGATTGATTGCTGGCCTCGGGAGGCCCCTCGCCTCTTCCATCCACGAGTCTTAGCAGTGGCGGCGCCCCTCCGCCTGATGTCTTCACACAGTGAGGGTCTAACTCCGGCAGATGGAGCGGAGTTTCTGACTTGGAAAATCTGCAGCTTGCTTGCTTTTCTTTTGTGTGTGTAAATCACAAAACCTCCGAAGAAAGAGGCTTTATTTTATTTTCCTTTCTCTTGTTCTCTGGAACCCCAGGCCCCGCAGCCTCATTAACTGATCTCTGCTTCAATTAGTGACAAATCCCCTCCCAGGGCGAGCCTGTTAGAAGGAGATGACCTGCAAACAAGTGTCACGGCCCCAGTGGTTGGCCCAGCTCTGGCATTAATTAAAATGAGTCCCTACAAGCAGGCGGCGTGGATGGGGGGGCTGACAGGCCCAGAGCAGGTCCAAGGGGCTGAAGCAAGCTGGAGTGGAGGCCAGGCCCAGGGAGGCCAGCCTCCTCTGTGGACCCTGAGAGCCCTCTCCCCTTCTCAGGAAAGCCTGGCCTTGGCCAGAATCAGGGAGCCCCAGTTTGTATGCCCCCCAGTGAAGTCTCACATTGGTTGCCGGGCCACGGGGCGGGGTGAGCAGCCTTTTGGTGAACCTTCTAAATAGATTTGGCAATGTCTGGCTTCTTGCTTGAGAATAAAAAAGAAATTCCGTCTTAGGTTATTTTTGAAATCTAACAGTTTGCTGTCTTTTAACAAAGGAAGCCTCTCAATCCTCACTGTTTTTTAGTTCAGGAGTTTGGGCTGAGTACTTCTGTGGTCAGCCCTCACTGGACCCTGGTTGCTGGGAGCTAGAGGAGCCAAGACCCCCGGACTCCCTTCAGGGGTCTGACTTGGTCCAGGCCTTGTGCAGATGCCGAGAAGGGAAACTGAGAACACTCTGTGGTTAGTCAGGGCTGTGATGAAGGTGACTCTAGGGTGTGGTGGGGCCAGAGCAGGGGCCCCTGAGTCACACAGCACTGAGTCTTAGGAGACAGACCAGAGAGACCAGGAGAGACAGGCCGGGTGTTCCAGAGAGGGCACAGCACACGCAGAGGCACGCCACAGGACCGAGCATGGCTGCCATGTTGGGACTGTTGGTGACATGGTGAGGTGGAGGATTGTAGGGACCAGGGCAGGAAGCATAAGAGCACCTTGCTCAGGAGGTAGGAGGGCCACAAAAGGAACCCCTACTGAGCTTGGGGACCTGGGTATTGCTGGGGTACAGGAAGTGGGTTGGAGTAGAAGTCATGAGGGGCTGGAGGGCCCAGCACATGGACCACCCTCCTGGACACAGGCTTCTGGATGAAGGTGGACCTGTGCTGGGGGTGGAGAGGAAGGCTCCCAGCTGAAGCCCATATGACCATCAGGAGCTGTTTGGTGGAGTAGATGTTTCACGCCTATGCCTCGAGC